ATATCCTTTGGAAGACTGGTCCAGAGAATTGAAGAAAATATGCCAAAGAGCACTGAAGCTGTTCTGGACACTTGTGATGCAACACCTTACTGAGAGACTATATGTTAGGGGTTGGCAGTACCACATTTCTATACAAAGCAATGCCATAGCCAGAATCACCAATATTGATATTAATTTATTAATCTTTTCTGTTCTGGCCCTACAGTGGTGGAATGAACTCCCCACTAAAGTGAGCAGAGGTCCATCTTCTGCTGCTGGCTGAAAACCCACCTCTTCAGACTACACCCCTTCTCTAATTACTATATAATTATTATAATACGTTATTTGGGAGTTTGGGGGTTTTTGATGACAGCTTGTGTTTGTGGATTTGAATAATTGTAATTTTCCTTTGAAGAAAAGGGTCTACAAAATGAATGTAATGCAATGGTGGTTTTCCCCTTGGTCACCCATCTCTACAGTAATTATGGTTTATTGTTGGTAAAATTGTACAATTCAAGTTTGAACTTTTAAGGATAAATTGATTCCTAAATGTATGTTTGAAGATTCACAAAAAGCCTTTAAAGGATCAATCTTTGATCTGCATTTTCAGACTACAATAAAGATGAGTATCAAACATTTAATTTGGCAAGTTTCACCTCGTTGTGAGTATGAAGCAAAGAGGTAATCAACAAGCCTCTTAATGGGAGCATGAATATATTATTTCTGAAAAGATAAAGTTGGGAGCATTGGCACCGTGAATAGGAACCAACATTTAAGTTTAACATTTGTCAACAGAGGAATATTACCGTAGTTATTCTTCTGTTCAGAAATTGATTATTTTTAGAATATAAGAGAGAGCATCTCCACCCACAGTAAATGTTGTTAAGTGTGTTACCATATTCCACCATTATTCATTACCAAAGATTGTGGGTTTTCTTTCTTGGGTTAAAATGAAGGTTACAGCTGTTTCTATGAAACACGAGCTCTAGGACGGTCAATTCACTTAAACACAATGTCGACGTTATATGAAGAATTTTACTTTCAGCTAAAGCTTTACAATTTCTCAGAAGACCTTTAGGGAAGTCTTTGTGCTGAGTATGTGCAAACATGACAACTCCCCTGGGTGAGAACAAATGTTTTTGATCAATGGGGAACCATATGTAGGTGTGTGTTCCTATGTAAAAACAATTAGCGGTCATGTGCTGTAAAATCTGAGCAGAGCATATTGTAAAAATTAAAAGTATGTAATAAACTGGGTTTTGAGCCAAAATTCCAGTGTCTCTAATCCAACCAAGCTTGACTCAACCTAACAGATCAAAGAAATAATGATGGACAGATTGGGATAACTAGCAAAGGAAGGCAGACATTTTTGGCCAGACTACAGTCTGGAGTCCATCCACATGAAACAATCCTCCATCACAGCTCCTGGTTTGATTGATTGGCCTTGAGGTCAGCCAGGGTTGTGAAAATATAGAGCATATTCAGTAGATTTGGTTATGGCGGGCTGATGACTAATTTTGGAAGAGACCTCAACACTTGAGTTCATCCAGTTCACAGTGTCTAGGAGCTTATGTCAAGATATACAGTATACCAGAGGAGTACTGCAGTCCTATAAGATTTTTTTTCTTTTGTTCCAAAGGCAAAATTTACACCGACAGAATAGAAATTCAATCATTTTTATTGCTAACATATATATCCAGTGGCCCACTTCTATCTCCCACACTCTACTTCTACATTCATAGCAAATTGTCAGCTGTCCAAAAACACAATGGTAATGGCAGACAACCAGGCATTTGCAGAAAACAAGTTCTACTTTACAAAATTCATAGAAGGAAAAGTGGTAGCAGTCAGTATAATACCAATAGAGGAAGATGACAGACTTGTAAAAAGACTAGAGTTGCATATAGCACTCTTACTTCCATCTATCCTCAAGTGACTTTTTTTTTTTTAGAAATGGAGGTCCAAGTTCAGCTGTACTTACCATATTTGCCATAGTTTTGCACACCAGTTACGGAAATGCTGATGTCTGTGCAGGGATGAAAATGTTTCAATGGGCCTATTTGGCAACATAGATCTTCTAGTTCATATCCTCGGGACAATCATTAATCAATATGATTAAATAATAATGACTAAACAAATGTACATTACATACAACAGCTATGGACTAACATTCAGCTAAAACATATCTAAATCTATATTTAACAGCTAGTGCTGTAGGTTTGGGTCCCTGTGAGCACATATGCTTTTTTTACGAAATGTCAGTGTAAGAAAAGCACTGGTGTAAAAAATAAAATGAATGATGGCTGAATTCCGTTTAGCTGCTTCAGTTTCAGGGTCCTGGTATTTTGCATGCTGGCTCACTTTCACCCTATCATGGGTGACCCTGTGTTAATATTATGAGCAGCCAAGATGAAAAAAATCTCCTATAGTGGGAATCTCTGACAACTACAGTTTCAGCTAACCAAAATGGCTGCTGAGCTTTCATCAGCAGCCGTGTATCCATACAAATGTATTGCAGCTCTTTAGCAAAATTCAGTTAGTTTTTAAAATTGTGCAGCTTCTTCAACCTTTTCTAACGCGATACTTCAAAATGCTCCGAAAAATATGTTGACAGATACACGGCTAATGACAGTTACAGCTAAATAAAATCAATATTAGCTCAAATACAATCAAGTCAGCTAATTAAAAAGAAGCTATACCCTTTTTGTTTGTATCTGGTTTTGATTGTTAACAAATAGCAACACGAAAAGCAGGAAAGAACACATGAAAAACAACTTCTCTCTCCCCATGCAACTGGAACAGCTGCCAGTGTATTGTTGTTTCAAATGAAATGATTTATTATTTGTTTGGTTCAGCTCATCATAAGGCATCTGTCTATTGCCATTATCCAATATCTACACTAGAAAGACAGATTTATAAGCAAAGCACCAGGTTAATCTAAGCCTATGGTATGGCTCATTTAAAGGTTATTTCACCGGGGTTTTGCTATTTCAAAACTTAAGATTTTACTTTCAAGTCAAGTTGCAAGTCTGTACGTCTGACTCAAGTCCCTGTCTCAAGTCTACAGCTCTGTTCAGAGCAGCTCAAATGAAGAATAATTAACAGCGATGGCTGGCTGTCAGCCAGATCAGATTGAACTATTCTCAGAGCAGATCAATTCCCAGCCTCTCTTTACCGCTGCTGGTGGTGAGTGACTCAGCTAATTATAACAAGGGAGAGCATGCCCTGAATACTGTTTTCTCTTCTAGCTCACTGGCATGGGGAGGCAGCCACACTCCTACACAGGCACTGTATACACACACATAACACACACCCACATACACCATGAGGTACACACTGAATGTCCAGCTATATAATGCTACAAGCTGCAGCCCGACAACATAAACTATCTTGTATAACATACACCCTACACATATACTGTGGTCTGGTGTGACCTTGATTCCAATGTGATTACATTGGAACAAATTGTAATATCACACACACCTGCAAGTCCTTTTTGTTTATCACCGCCAGCACAAATAAGTCACATTTTACAGAGTACATCTAAACACTGTGTCACACATAAACACACTGACACACCAGGTCCGGACTATTGTCAGATAACAATAAACCTTTTGGCCTTCTGTTGCTCTGTTGCACATTCACACAGTGACTGTTCATCCTGCTTTTTGAACTTCTTAGATAGAGAGAGAGAGGAAACCTGTTTCTGTGCCTGCTCGACAGCATGACAAACACACTTGCTCACAGAGACACACACACATCAGTCAGTCGGTGAGTCACCTTATTCATAGGACAACCACTGCACAAAGAAAGAATGCAGGCCTAAAAATAACAGGCCATCATTCCTATGGAATCTGCAGCTCATCCATGTTTGGACAGCCTGCAGAGACAGGTTCACATGACCTTTTTGAGTCAAGCTGAGCTGAGCTGCTGTGACCTGGTTAAGTGTGTGACCTCTTGCGGAAAGAACCGTGTTGCAAATGTAAAAAGAAATGGTTTGGAACGGCATGCTTCTGTTTGGCAGGAGGGGTTGTGCAAGAGAGTGGCGATAGTGCATACGCACACGGGCCAGCTGGTGCTCTGTGTTTCAGTGAACGCTCAGTGAGCCTCGACTGCAGCCACTATGCTCGTTCAACATAAAGCAGTGGAAAAAGAGAACTCTTGCGCAACTCACACATGGTCGTGTGTGCGCGCACCATGACAAACATGCACATTTGTAATTACCTCACATCGTCAGCCCATCTCAACACTCATCATCACAGGAATGTTTTTCAAACTGACTGTATACTGTACTTCACCCTTCAATTTCTGGTTCTTACAACAGTCCATAGTTCACTGATTATACTTTTTTTTCAAGAATATTGCATAATTTTCACACAGATTGCACAGTATTGGCTTGCTTGTTTGTGGTAATTGGGTATACAAGTCATTTTAGCCTGGGATCAGTGTCTGTCTCTGAGAGCCCAGCTGCTGTGATGTTGTTTACAGAGCCGCGCTGGCATATTTTATGTGAATGCTTATAGCCCAGCACCACTGAGGCTTTATGGGGGTGAGTCATATCCACATAACAAACAAGCTCTGCATGGGAAAATATCATGGTGATGTTAAAGCTAGAGTTAAGGCTCATACACTGGAGCTTTGTACTGGCTAGTTCACACTTGAGGCATAACATTTGGAGAGCAAACACTTTCAGGTGCCATACAGGAGGTCTGTTGCAACCGGTAATAAACTGCAATAAGAGCATTAAGGAACAACTGAGTCAGAGAAAGAGTATTAAAGATTGTTAATTATTGTCTAAAAACATGTGCTTGATGAGGCAGCCATGATAAGTGGCAGATGATTTCTTCATTCCTTTCACACGGTCAAGGTTGTTTTTGTTTTATTTTTCCAATATCAGCGCTGGAATTTCGAGATTAATGACACCGTGGCAAATACGGGGAAAATAACGTTAATGTTTGCACCATATGCTCACGCGGTCGTCTGTGAAAGGTAATACAGCGGGCAGTTTCATCAGAGCCGAGCTAGAGCTAGAGTCGGTGCCGTTACAGGATTGCTCAATGGTTGTGTCACCAGGAGGCTGGACTGGTCGGGCGGAGTGTTTGAGCTCTGATCTCAACATCACTGGAGCTCACTCACTCTCTGCCTCTCTCTCTGAGTGTGAGGCGGTCCCTCTTTCTCTCCTCTCTCCCTCTCTTCTCTCCCTGTCTTATTCTCTCTCTCTCTCTCTCTCTCAGACTGGGCTCTGAGGGATCCGGATTTTCTCACCAAAAAGTACACAGACCTCAGAGCCACGGGCAAACGAAAGGACGTGGGTTGGATTATTACCAGAGAGAGGAGAGGGGAAAAAAACGCGGCGTCACTGAATCTGCTGAAGTTTCATTTATATCTCCACTACAATGAGCCTCACACGGAGAAATGGAGCGCGCAGTTTGTAGTTTATTCTAACCACCAAGGGACACATCCTAAACAAGTCAAGGGGTCTCGTTTTTTGTTTTTGTTTTTGTTTTTCTTGCTTTCCCGTTGAATCGGTCTATCAGGAGGATGAACTTGCAGTGGAGCAGCCCGGCACCCTCCTGCATCCGCACCGGGAGAGTCGCGCACAAGCGGCTGGACTCAGACGATCAGCCGCCGGCGAAATGCGCCAGGCTGAGCGCCGAGGCGGGGGACACCCAGGGACTCCTCCTCGGCACCTCTCCCGGGTCCCCGGTCAGCCCCGTCTCAAACCCCGTCCCGACGATCCACCAGGGACCATCCAGGATAGGACCGTTTCTGCTTCTACCTCTGGCGGACCGGGAGAGCGTGCACAGCGCGATGAACACCGACACCGGCGACGAGCTGCTGTGCAAGGTATGCGCAATCCCGTCATTGTGCAATTTCTTTGAATGAATGGTGTTTCAAGACATCGCGTTGCTCAACAAGCCTGTCTGACATGTCATCAGCATTTAGCCGACTTTTTCACCCAATGTCATTCTCACGCGAAATCTGCCACACTTTGCGCAATGGCAGTGTTGCTTCATGATTTTTTTGAATCCCGAACCATACAAGGCTCTATTGTGTCTAGGAGGATTTTAAATCTGTTTACAAATGCATGAAAGACTAGGCAACCCCATAGCCCCGTGCTTGTGTTGTGGAAACACAGCCTACCGATTCAAGTCCACCTATCTTTGGCACGATATGGCTTCACACTGTGTCTGTCAACTCGGCTCATTTGCATACACGTCACTGCAATACGCCACGCCGTGACACACACACAAAAATGCAAACATGTGAGACAAAGAGAGACTATCATGATCTGGTCTGATAACGACAGGGCCCCTCCGCTCTTCCACATCCATGTGTTTATTTTGCGATATAGACCTGCAGGCGTTTTGGCTTTGTTGATTAATAAAGTTAATTACTTCATGCTTTGGTGATTCATTTGTCATGCTCATGCAAAAGCAGCGTATTGAGCTGGAATCAAAGCATATCCTACGCATTTTTTTAACTGGCTGCCAAATTTGCACGGTTGTTTCCTCAGATGATCATTAAAAACACACTGACCCATTGCCTCTTCTCACACACTCCCTCCCTCCCAATTTTCCATCCTGCATCCCTGTCCCTCCTCCTCTTCTACTCATCTCTCTCTCCCAGGTCTTTGAAATGGGGGTATACCAGGAAAAGATAAGACCCTACGGGATCCTACCACCCCACAAGAATGTGGCCGGCATCAGGGACATCATCATTGGCGAACGCAAGGCCTACGTGTTCCTGGACAAGGACTTTGGGGACATGCACACCTTGGTGAAGAGCTGTCGCAGGCTGGATGAGGAGCACGCCTGCAGGCTTTTCCGTCAGGTGGCCCTGGCTGTGGCGCACTGCCACCAGGCTGGCATTGTGCTGGGTGACCTCAAGCTGCGCAAGTTTGTCTTCGCAGATGAGAAAAGGTGAGAAAGTCTGCTACTTTCAAGGAAACAGGCATAAAATGTTGGTTCTGAAAGGCAGATGACACCTGAAAAGCTGCTCAGCATCCGATTCTCAATTTCGTGCAGCTCTAATAGTATCAGTTAACTTTATTTGGATGCTCTCAGACTTAAATACTTGCAGTGTAGTGGGACGGCAAACATGGCAGCAGCTGATACACACAGGCCATGTGTGCAGATATTGATGTGGGCACAGATAGAGTAGGAGGTTCTGTACTTGTGGAGGCAGACTGCATTGCTTCCCAGATTTTCGCCCTCTCTGTCTGTCTCCCTTTCTCACTCTCTCGATGTGTCTCTTTGTATGCCTGTTGTGTGTTTGTTTTGCATGTGTGTGTGTGTGTGTGCATGTGTGAATGTAGTGGGTGGTAGTTTGGCAGAGCTGCTAGACGAGGCTGGTGAATGAGACAATCATCCCCCTTCTGCGGTCTATATCTTGGAATATATTTATTACTCATTATTTATTAATAAATTACATCATAACTATGCTGCAGAAAAACTGATGCTTCCAACTAGGATTCATTCAAATACACTTTCATCCATGAAGGAGTAGTTCAAAGCGCTGTGCTTTGAACTGGCTCCCACACACACACCCACACACACACACATGCCCTAATGTCTGCATCTGAGTACTGCATTCTGTTCAGGAAGACACACAAACCCCTGCTTACAAAACTATTTGTCGCCTCTTTGCCCTTGCGTCACTCCCTTTCCTGTAAGCACCCGCTGATGCCACACAACCCCCCCTCTGGTTTTCCAATGGCCCTTTTTCATGGAGACTTTTCAACAGTAACATTCCCCAGCCATGACCTCTGGGTCTGCAGGGTCACACTGGATGAATGAGAGCAGACAGCCAGTGAGAGAAGTTGAAGTTGGTTGTGTCCCTGTGATAGCTATACGGCTGCAGAGCGATGAGTCACAGTGTATATGTGCAGAGGGGAAGGAGAGGAGGGAGGGGAGGGGGGGCTGCATAGCACCTTTTCTTTCTTTGTGTGTGAGTGTGTCCATACATGCATGTTTTTATGTGTGCTGATTACACATTCAGAGCTGTAAAGCTCCGGCCCCTTGCAAGCTGAAGTGCTTTTTTTTTTTTACTGTAATTCAGTATTTTGTTAGCTGGGTGACAGCATTGCATTAATGTCGGCAGACTGACCCACAAGACCCACTTGACCCTGGAGTTGTGGGATGACATTTTCTTTTTTAACACTGACTTCTCTTTACACTTTGACTGGCGACACACTACAGTTGCACTACAAATGATCTTGCTGTGATGTGAATGTAAAAAAACAAAGCTGCAGATTTCGCTGATAGTTCTGTGACATCATGGAATTTGGCTTTTCATTTCCAGATAATCTGGCGTTTCGTGCTCCCTGAGATTGCTGCCACTGTCACACAGACTTTTCCAACATAAGTCTCGTTGAAATGTTGTTGTTCTGCATGACCTCATTTATTCTGTCATACATTCCCCCAAATTCACAATCAGGCATCTTTCAAACCCCAACAATCACGCTGTGATGCAACGTCTCAGCCAACAATGCAGCAGACAAGCCAGAGACAGAGAAAGTCACAACAATTTGACAAATGCATTCACACACGCACACACACAGTGCAGTTGGAAAAGCCAGTTTAGGGAAGGTGACTAGCACTATGAAGCATGCAGAGCTCCACTGCTGGGCCAGCCTTCCCGTGCGTCACTGATGTGGCAACAGCCATTTGAGGGTAATTATGGGATGGCTGGCGCCGCGAGTGTGGGACCCAGGTGCAGATAGCCTCAGCTTGAAAATGAGAGCGAGAGAGGGAGGAGGAGAGAAGATATGTACTCTCAACAGAAGGATGAGTCACTCTCTCCACCCCTCTAACTCTCTCTGTTCTGTTTCCTTTTCTGTCTCCATCTCTCATTCTCCTCTCCTGACTTATCTCCTCCACTATCTCGGTGTTTAAATATCTGTTGCTTTCTATCTTGGTCCTTCTGGCTGTCACTTCTTTCATCCTCTCTCTCACTGTCTGTTTCTTTCTCTCTGGCCACTCCGTCTGACAACTGAAACGTTTCACAGAGGCGACACATCTTATGCATGTTTGACTTGATAAAACCTCAATCACAGTGTTAGTCTTTGGAGCAAATATGAAGAGGCACAAATCGTCTTTTAATTTAAAATCAGCACGTCTGTAGCTGCAGAAAATCACTCTTGAAATGATTTATTGTTATTTTTATGCCATTAGACAATGCAAAAGTTTTCCCATCAGTCACTCAAGAGTGTTTCAGTGGTAAATGTCTCATTCTACAAATACACCCTCACAATCTTAGTTGGTCTGAATGAGGACTAAATGTATGTCCTGTCATTAGCATGGCTAAATATAGCATTGTGTGTGTGAGTGGGGAGGAGGAGGGTGCTGGACTTTATTTATATGTGTGTTTATGTGACCATGTGTGTGCCAGAAAGTCATTGGAAATTTGCTTAGGCAGTTCTGCTTCTCAAACGGGACTCATTGTTGTGCACTTAGGTCAGAATAAGTTCACTGGTGTCAAGTGTGTGTGTGTGTGTGTGTGTGTGTGTGTGCACGAGTGTGTGTTGGTCCATCTGTCTCTCCGCTGTGCAACTTACTGTAAGGATACAGGAAGGATGCTTGATTTTCCATGATGCAATCAGTGACTTATATTTAACAGATCTCTGAAATGTTTGACAGTCTTAAACAAAGTCACTGTTAGACTAGACTCACATACACACACACACACACACTCTCTCAGTGGTGTACTAGATCAAGGAGTGACGTGTGCTTTAAATATTGTTGTACATGGGAACTCTGAGGACATAATTTATAACAACAACATGACATTCTGCAAAAAATATTCTACTTGTGAAATGTGGATTTGGGTGAGGGGAAAGAACATTAAGTTCTTAGGTTACACCACAATGTGTAAAGTTGATTTTGTGTGAGATAACATATCATTCCCATCATATCTCTCTCAGCAATCTGCTGTGAGTAGACATGCAGCTATGAGAAAGGAATCTCCTATGTACTAAACAAACATTTTCAGTATTGTCTAAGCTCTTAAAGGTCCTTTGAAATGTCCTGACCTTATTTTGACTTTTTCTTCACAGGACACAGGTGAGACTTGAAAGCCTCGAGGACTGTCGCGTCCTAGAAGACCCCAACGACGACTCCATGTCAGACACTCATGGCTGCCCCGCCTACGTCAGCCCAGAGATCCTCAGCAGCTCCGCGCCTTACTCTGGCAAGATGGCTGACATGTGGAGCCTGGGGGTCATGCTGTACACCATGCTGGTTGGCCGCTACCCCTTCCATGACCCAGACCCAGCCACGCTGTTTTCCAAAATCCGCAGAGGCCAGTGCTGTTTGCCAGAGGGCTTGTCGCCCAAGGCCAAGTGTCTGCTCCAGAGCCTGCTGAGGAAAGATCCCTGGGAGAGACTCACGGCGACTGAGCTGTTCGCTCACCCATGGTTCCACCATCCGCCCTCGTCGCAGGAAGTGGTGCCAGGCGAACAGGAAGTGAGCTCGGCAGAACAGATGGTGCCATCCTTTGACGTGGAAGAGGACAGTGATCTGTTCTGCTGACGGACTTGATTCAGCTGAGTCTGGCTGAGGGACCAAAACAAAAATTGCTATGAGGGATTCATTGTTGTTTTTTTACATTGGCACTTTTTAGAAACCCATTTGTGTACTGTTGAGTGTACAAACACCCTCAAGCTTTCTACAACTGTACTGTATTTTGTTGTCGTATTTGTGTTATTTGCTAAGGGCATTGTTCACAATGATCATTCATTGTTTTTCTATATGTGTTTTTTGAAATTATTTGGTGCTAAAAGATATAACAAGGACTCAGACTTTGCCAGATTATGTTAACAAAATAATCTCTGCAGGCTACTGTGAGTATATCACAGAAAATTAACCCATGGCAAACAGTAGTCACCAATGCTTGCTCTCAGCCTGGATTCACAAGGCTTCAGAAGGCATTAGATGAATCCTGAACGGGAGGCGAGGAGAGCGGGATGTTGTTCCTCTCACTCTCTCTGACCAGGCTGGAGGCTCCACCGGCTGACTCACCGACCGGCTCGAGGAAGGCCTAGTACAAGCTTGACGTCTCGCAGCAGGCGGTGTCACAGAGTGAGAAAGATGGTTAGCAGAAGCCTGATGTGTCACCCTCAGCGGGGACGCTACGAAGGTGTTTTCGCTGCCAATCTGGCAACATCTCAGCAAATGGAGAGCATTTACAAATCTCACACCATGCACAGAAGGTTGAGAAAGGCAGAGTGTTGCTGATGTAAGACAAGCAGGGAGATTAGGTCTCAGACACACAACAATAAGCAGTGGCACTGGGCTAACACAAGTCTTTGTATATGGCTAACAGAGAAAAGTACATCTCAGTAATTTTCTCACTTTTAACCGTTGAACCTAAAACATTTACCTTACTTAAAAACATGCTCAAAGCAGAATATATCAGATAAAGGTTGCATCAAAACAGGAACTGTCAATTAACATTGAGTCTGACCTTGCAAATTTGATCGATCTGTTCGGCTTTTCTGAAATGCTGCGTGTGCAATTAGGCAAAGCTAAACCACTAAACACTAATGCTTCTGGTTCAAAATCAAATGCAGGAAGGAACTGTTGATTTGTTGTTTTGTTTGGTCACATTTGCAGCAACAGAAATGGTGAATAATTATTACACCTGGAAGGCATGCTACAGAAAAATAAACATTCAAATGGTACTTCCGACTGACACAATATGAATTATCTCTCATTCCAATCAAACCAGAAAGAAACACATTAGAGACTTTCTCAGTTGAGGAGTTGAACCTGTTTTGTTAATTTCTGTTGGAACATTATGTCAAGCTGAGCTGTGCTGAGTGTTGTGCCCGTATCACTGTGTTTCATAAACTGAACGGCTCTGAATCAGTCGCAGTCAGGCGATATTTGATGTTGGTTGTCTGATGATGACTCAACACTTGAGCGTGTCTGTAGAGAATGGTCCTGACCTTGGCTGGAAGAATCTGTTCTGACTGTTTCACCTTTTTAATGTTTTTTTTCCCTTCCTTTTTTTTGCCGTTGAAAGCTGTGGATCCATTGAGACTAGTCATCATAGTTAGTGACATGATGTACCAGATTCTAAAAGATGTTTTATATTGGACTGTGACAGATGGATGCAGCGCTTCAGTGACGTTTAGCCTTACAGGTTACTGTGGGTCTGTGGTCAGCTACTTCATTCTGGCACAATTACTTTGACAATGGTACTAAATCTAACATATCCGAGAAGCGGGGTGCATTTAAGTTTTGGGTCACACGGCTAATAAAACATCTGTTGCAGTTCTTTTATTATTTTATCTCATCTGCTTGAGATACCAGATGGGAGCAGACTTGTGACAATCTGAATTGTGTCTCACAGAAAAGTAATTTAAGAGATGAATGGTTTTGTTTCTGGTTCATACATGTAGAGTGAGTCACACATTCATGTGACATGTAGAGTAAACTGACACGGGTGCACAAACGTCATATTGCACTGTGAATTATGTATTTGTGACACAACCTAGAGGCTATTATTAGTCCAGACAGGTTACACACAAGAGATATATTCATTGTACAAAAGTTGTAAATATGTATATTTGAAATATGTGTGGAGATGTTGAATAAAGATCACATTTTTTCATATTCACATGACTTGTTTTGTTCATTACTGCTGCTCGTCTTTTTCACACACACACCCATGCAAACACCTGTACGTTACACAGCACTGCATGCCTCCAAGGTTTTCTGCAAGAATTCTCCCCACACAGCCCTTCATCTCTGTGAGAGAAAACATTACATTTTCTCATTTTCCTCAGCGCTTTCATTTTCAAACTCTCTTTCTCTCCATCCATGCCTCTAACCGTTTACTCTTCTCTGACCTTTGCGTAATGTAACATTTAACTCCTCAAACACACAAATGTCAATAGTGGGTCAGTGTCTTTTCCTGGAATACGCAAGGGGGAGCTTATACACTGCTTTTGTTCTTTTTTTCCTCAGTTTCAGCGGTAACCGGTGGAACACGAGGTCAATTCATCAAACAGTGAACAGCACTATTTAAACTCAAATACATTCTTCTTCATGTAATCCACTTTTGATTATGAATAATTGTTTGACCTATAAGAGCTTGGCATTTCTCCACAGTCTGTGTGTTATGACTACCCCAGGCATGGCTGGCTGGGGCTTGCGTAAGCGTTGCGTGCGTGCGTATACCTGCCTGCATGTCTACATTTGTATGTGTGTGTGTGTGCATGTGAGCACAAGAGTCAGATTAGGTATCAACAGGGTAGCTGGAGTGTCTCAGCTGCTGGGAAGCTGCCAAACCTACGATTGCCCAACACGTCAGTGCCGGACTCCTCCAGGGATGACAACAGGGCCCTCAAAAAGTAGGCTAGCAGTCGGTCACATAATGGAGAAATTTGTGTGTGTGTTTGTGAGTGTGTGTGTGTGCGTGAGCAGGTTGTATTTTTGTATATGTGAAGAGGTCTGTCATTCAGGGTTTACAAGATTTAATGATAAAGAAGTAGTTTGATGATTTGGGAGGAAAATATGTTGTTTCGTTTTTTTGTTGCCAGTTAGATGAGAAGATTGATACCATTGTCAAGCTTGTACTCTTAGTATGAAGCAGGCAGATGGTTATTTTATCTTAACTAGCAAGGAAGCCCAAATGGAACAATCTGCCTGCCAGCACGACACCACCATCCCCACCCACAATCACAACAAGTTGTTTTTACAACTATAGATACAGGATTCACCGATGGACTCGCCTATTTTATCGGGATTGTGATGTTTAACCCACTGTTGTCCCAGGCTTATGGGAAATGGGGTTTGTTAAAGGCCATTAAAAACAAAAATATGGAGAAGAAAAACTATTCTGTGATTTCAATAACTGTCCTTATCTAAACATATGGACCTTTTTAGTTATTTGCGTCATTACACTGGATTTTTAATGAGGTTTTCCATTTAGTCCTTTTTAACTTGGCTTTAGACACAAATTTTGTTACTTTCAGACAGAGCCATGCCATCAGTTTTCCCCGTTTCCAGTCTTTGTGCTTAAGCTAAGCTTCATATTTATCAACAAGAGCAGCAAGTGAATAAGCATATTTACCATATAAAAACTATTCCTTAAAGCACTGAAAGTAATGGTTATGATACAAAGAAAAGTGCGTGTGGTGAGGGGTAGATTGAGGTGAGGTGTTAGGAAATGTCTTCAGGTATATTGTGTGTCTGTGTGATCTCATCCTGGCCCTTGGCCACAAGTGTAAACTTTATCCTTCCTTGTGATCAGGGATCATTGAAGTTTCCCAACCATGTAAACTTTTAAATAACAGCCCTCTCCAACTTCCTCCTTGGATGCATGTCTCACACACACACACACACACCGGAGTGTCATCAAATATTTCCTTGACCTCATTTGATAAAGTTGAAAATACAGGGGAGAGTAAATCTCAAAAGATGTTTCTGATGTTTAAAACTATTGTTTAAACTAAGGCAGAAAACATTAATTATCAATGATCGAACATTTAAACTTTTGAGATGAGAATGTCTGTGTGGGTTGGTTCTGACTATGTGGACCATACAGGAAAAGGGTGTAACATCGAGCTACATCCTGCTCCGTTTTTTCCCTCATAAGCCACACAAGGAAGTGAAGAAGCAGATCTGAGATTGGACTGTAAAGCACCTGTCTCTGCGCTGAGATGATGTTAAGTATTGTGCTTCTTCCTGGAACTCTTTGGCATAGGCAAGTGCTCCCTTGATGCAATGGAAACCTCCACTGTTTAAATGACCTCTCTGACTTGATTTATTTCATAATACAAATCCCTGAAGGAATGTGAGGTATTGTGTTGTTCATAGTTCAGTGAGGAGTTTGAATGCTTGTAATAAGGTTGGTATTTTCAACTGTCATCTTAAATCACAAAGGCATACCTGAAATTCATTTGAATGAAGTCAAACTATGATCTCTGCTGCGCCCTTGTGGAGCCACGGCAAACTGCAGCTGTACTGATTTACACGTCCTTGATGGGTACAATACTGTAACTATTCTTTTTATTTCTTAAAGGAAAACATGCTACCTTTCTATAATAAGACGTACCAGAATAACAATTTGTTAACATTGCAACTCCAGACTTTATAGATAATTGTAATGGAAGAACCCCTTTAATAATGAACTACTAACAGCCGTAATTGCAGACCTTGTAAGGTGAGACACAAGTGGAAAGGAGGTTGTGTAACTAAGGTCCTATGCAAATTTGTGATTGTTTTTAAGTTATAAAACTTGGGGCACCTGGTAGCTCACCTGGTAGAGAAGCACCCCATGTACAAAGGCTGTGTGTCATCTTCCGTCTTTTTCTCCACTTTCCAGTCCCTGCACAGCTGCTACTTTCAAATAAAGGCAATAAAAGCCCAAATAATTTCTTAATCTTAAAAAAAAAGACTCACTAAATAAAGACAGTCATTAATGTTAATGTTAATAAGTTGTTAATAAAAGTTGGGCCCACCAGATGTTTCAAGCAAGGAAAATCAAAAGTGAATTTAAAAATACAGATTATATAAATCACAGTTCATGCTGTTTTATTTTTGTGAGGTAAAAATGCTTGTTAAATATGTAGGATTCTTAATTATTATTAATTATTTTTCATAATCTGAGCATGGTGGGGACTGACAATCAGTTACAGAAGCTTGAAATCATAGTGCCATTTTGTATTTTAACACTACAGTACAATAGTTTGCTGTTGGCCTGTGGCCCCTATTGAGATTCAATTTTGGCCCTCCAAGGGAAAAGTTTGGACACCCCTGCTTTAGGGAAACAGCCAGCTACAAGAGACAACCCAGTTATTATAAACATTTTCTGGTTCCAGAAACACATTATTTTCCAGTGTCTAATAGACCAACAAGTTAACTGAGTATTCTTGTAAACAAACAAAATATATGTTTATATTCCATGTTTCTCACATTGTGTGAATCCTTTAAGTCTAACAAACATGATGAATACTTTTCCTTCTTTATAAAACAACACTGAAACCTGCATTGTTTACATCCACGTTTAATAGCTATCTGTCTTCTTCTTCCCTGCCTTTGTCAACACATTGCTGTGCTTCTTTGCACATTACCACCACCTGTTGATCAGTGGAATAGTGTGAAACCACTGGTAGGAATGTGTACTGTGTATTGTGTCAAGCAATAAAAACCTCCACAGGGCACCTTTAAACAAGAAAATAATCCTCAGATTAATCAGCAATGAAAACAATCGTTAGTTGCAGACCTAGTCAAATGCACTTTCCTAAAAAACATGGAATAACGTGATCGTCTCTCTCTAACAGCATGAGTCTCCACTGGCGGTAAATGGGAGCCTTGAGTGTTGTCTGGGTCAACAGGCTCTTAAGCACAGACAGGAGGGGAATGAGGAGCGTTTCTCTGATGAGGTTATTTCAAGCAAAGTGGCCCCTTGGGGCTCTGCGTTATCACCATGATTGTTTTCTATTCAGATAGATAAAGTGAAAGAGAAAAACATTGTTAAGATATTCAAATATGCTGATGACATGGCCCAGGGTGGCCTGATTTACAGGGTTTGTTTATCATGACTTCCCTGACTGGTGTAAATGTTTGTGAATCAAAGGCAAGAATCTTCTCTGACAAGGACTCTTCAGGCTGGAAATAACTACTGCACTATAATCTTGATCAGTTTGACAATTAGCATAATTGTTGGCAAGGTCACCTGTTCCTGAGCCCTAAATCCAATACAATAAGTGACACTAGCACAAGCTTGTTCCTTTCAAGTTTATAAAATGTGTTTTTATTGATGCTTATATCCTTTTAGTTAGAGCTTTCTCAAATAGGAAAGGCACACGTTAAACAATGTTTAGGATTACTTTATCTTGTGTTTTGTGGATTAACACTGTGATGACCTGTTAGAGCACGTAATGACAACAAAAGTCCAGGAGAGGGCAGTGTTTTCATGCGCCTGTCCAGGTAATGCTTCACCTTTGTGAATAAACTCTTTCGCACAAGGAACAAGTGGATCAAAGGTTGCTGAAGACAAGAAATTAGATCAAACTGGATATTATTTGTCTTTTTAACAGATTAACATGCAAGTGCTATCAGGATGGGGACAATGCTTCTGATGAAATCTACATAACTAAAGAACATCTGATCACTGAGATTTTCATCATAATAAACCATTTGGCTCTCATTGTTGCCTAAACAATAGATAGTCCCATACTCATGCGTTCACACCCATATTTTTATTTGAGGTGAACAACATGAAACAACCCTTAGATTTGGGTTTTATGAGGTCTTAAACAGCAGCAGACCAGAATTGTTTAAACTGTTTGGTTGTAAAATCGTCCATCTGTCTTTGGAACTAATCGGCCTTTCCTGGCCTGACTTTTAAAGATGTCACCCAAATTAGCCAATCAGAGTAAAAAACACCCGTTGGCTGTTAAAGCTTGAAACGTGAAATATTTGAATTAGTCTCAGTGGCATCTAAAAGCCTTCTGCAACTGCACAGAAACCTGTAGTGTAATTCAAGGATGACTATTATATGAACATCTACGTTTTACAGTTTCATAGCAGCTCTTCAACTTAGCCTTGACAAAGACCTTAATGTCAGATGAGTTGAATTAATTTTTATTCTACCAGCAGAGCGCACAA